CATCAGTTGCTTACGTTTTCATGATTCACTTGTTGGATTGCAAGCTTGCCAGCCAGTTCCGTTTTAAGTTCCTAGATGTGTTTGACAGTTGGGATCTACCTAGGCCGACCTTGTAAAAACCTCATGACATTCTTGCAGGTGACCCCCAGGAGTGGGTCTCACACTCGAGCATGCTGGGAGGGGTCACTGGGCCCGCTCGGAGTGTCTGGTTTAGTAGATCCTAGGCGGTGTGAGATCTACCGGGATCCCAGTTATTTGTAACAGCCTTAAGCCCAGTTCATGGTGGGTGTGCGTAGGCAGAGGCGCTGGGGGCAGGAAGTGTATAGAAACCATATACGTTTGCTTTAGTTTACTTTCATAATTATCTGCTGGGACAGAAATTGAGTTTGGAATCTTGAGGGAAGAGATGGATGTTGAAACAGTCCCCATGGGCAGGCCGACCTGCTGTCATGGGCCTCTCTCCAGCCCCCTTTTTCTGCCTTACGCTGGGCCCTGGACTGCTGTGGACAGTATCTTATTTACCCTTCGCAGCTGCTTCTAGATGAGGGTCAGAACCCTCCTGTACAGGTGAAGCACACAGCCGCTGCCTGACTCCCAGACCTGTGTTCTGCCCAAACGTGAGCTGACCCAGGGGTCGAGGGCCACGCGGAGGCTGTGCTCACACTCAGCGAAGCCCCAAAGTCCACACTCAGAGACAGAAGCCCCAATCAAGCTTGCACACGTCGTTGAAGATTTGAGCTTTTTATGCCCAAAGCAACATTCTTAAATATGTAATAGACTTTCTTGTAATTTTTATCAGATAAGAGATTAAGAGTTGTTCCCTTAATTCTAGACAATGTGAATTTGTCACAAACATTTTACCTTGTTTATAATAAAAAATTTCACTTCCATAGAGGCCTCTCTGAGTCTCTTGGTTAGTAAGTAGCCTCTTGCTTTGAAAAATTTTCTATCAAGTATTTTGGCTTAACTCATATCTTCTCATTACTCTTGTCATCATCTTGTTCATTTACTGGTTAAAGAATGTTAATGTTGAGGGGCCAGCAGTTAGCGTAATGGCTATGTCACTGGATTCCATGTAGTCAACAGTGGTTCAAGTCCCAGACTTGGTGGCTTAAATTTATGCCGGGTGCGTGTGCGTGCGTGCCCAAGATCCCGAGAAGAGAATGGATGAGAAGGGATTGTGGCATGGCCATCCCCCCAGCCTGGGGGGTGATTTCTCGCTTTCTGTCTCTCTCTCAGTCTTTCTGGCAAGTGCACATGCCCAATAGTAAAAACCTCCCCCCCAAAAAAAAAAGAATGTTAATGTTCAAATGGGAAATTATTGATAATAACATGTATGATTAAGCCACTCTGCAGTATATTATGGATGGGAAATCACATTTTGTATGCTGTGATGATGCTCCAGGAATGAATGTAAATGAATTAATTTTTAAAAATGTTTCAGAAGAAAATTATAGTGCACATGTCACTAGATTCTAACTTTGTCCATATTTTGAGTTTAAGGTATTTTGTGAATCAATAAAATGTGGAAAAACATTTAGTATGGAAGAGAGAGAAGGGGAAGGGAAGAAAAAGTAAAAGTATGCTTAATTGACAAAAAACGAGAAGCTATTTGCTGATAAGTGATAGAGTAATATCTTTGGCTTGACTGACACGCATAGTATTTGTGCTGGAAAAAGAAATGTTATACACTGTAAAGACGTGAGTAAATGTAAATAAATAATTAAAGAAATATAAAGTTTGAAATATTTAAAAAAAGAATGACAATGTTGAGTCATCGAAGTGCATTTTTCTACTGGTTTTGTTTTTTAACCTCCCAGGTAGATTATGCTAACCACGCACTGTATAAACACGGGAAGGCCGGGCGGAAGCAGTCGCCCGTGCGTATTTTCACCAACATTCCACCCAGCAAAATCGTCCTCCCTACTGAAGAAGGGTACAGGTGAGGTCGCTGAAAATTAAGTTACGTAGGACACGGGGTGTGGAGGTTAAGGCGCCGGATCCTGGATCCCATATGGCCAGATCCACAGTTTGAGTCCCAGACCCGGCAGTTGAAGAACATGCCAGACATGTGCACATGCATGCCCAAAATCCAGAGAGGAGAATGGAGAAGAGGGGATTACAGCGTGACCACTCCCAGAGGGTGACTTCTCACTTTCCCTCTCTCTCTGGCAAGTGCACATTCCCCATGGCAAAAATCTTTATAAAGAAAGGAAGAAAGAAAGAAAGTTACATGTATGTAACAGTAAAATACTTTTAATATTGAAGCGCATAGTTTACCCATTAAGTTAAAATTTAATCCGTAATGTCACGTTGAGTCGAATTCTGATTAGACCCGATTTTTGTAACAGCCTTGAAAGCTTTCCTCTGATCTGTGAATGTCAGTGAAGGTGTGCCACTGGTTTTCCTGTTTCTTTTCCTTTAGATTTTGCCCTCTGTGTCAACGATATGTTTCCCTCGAGAATCAACACTGCGAGTATTGTAATGCTTGCACGTCTAAGGTGAGAATGCATTTTTATTTAAATATATTCGTTTTATCTTAGTTTGCTAACTTCATTATATTTTCTAATGTTATTTTGTTAATATTATAATTTGTATTTATATATATATATATATATTACTTTTACTATTAAACTTTAGTGCAGTGCTTTATTTCTAATGATAGAGTAGGCTTTAAAAATTTTTGTGTGTGTGAGTTTACTTGCCAGAGAAAGGCAGAGAGAGGAAAGGAGAGAGAGGACATCCCCACCAGGGTGTGGTCATGCCACAGTCTTTTCTCCATTTCTCTCTCCTGTCAGGGTTTTGGGCACAGGGACCAGCAGTTAGCATAAAGGCTATGTCACTGGACTCCCATGTAGCTGACCGCGGTTTGAGTCCTGGACCCAGTGGCTTAAAACTCATACCGGG